AGTCCACGGGAGCACAGTCCCTGGGAGCACAGTTGGGGCCGGTAGGATCTATAGGGCTGGGCTTAACATCAGAGGCAGAGACCACCCTCAAGAGTGAGCATGGTGTGTGAGACGGACACCACGTGACTCAGTTCCCACCACCGTGAGTCTCCTTTGGTTGAGAGGAGGTGGTAGTTACCCGAGCTAGGGAGGAGCAAGAGCTGAGAGTCCTCGGAGAGGGCCTTGAAACAGGCAGGGCCTTCCAGTGCAGGGTGTACGTAGCAAGTAGCAAACCAGCCCTCCGGGAGGAGCCAGGAGAACGTATCTCCTGGCCTCACCTTTGTCCTCCAGCCCAGCCCTGTCCGTCTGGGGTCCTTCTTTAACCAAAGCCCAACCCACCTGTTGGGAGCAAAGGCTGGAGAAGAGCCAGTGAAGGGGTTAGTGGCAGGTCACCTGCTCTCCGTATGCCCCGGACCTCCCATGTCTGGGAGGGTCATGTCCGTTAGGGTTGATAATTAGGGCCTGGCCAGATCTGGGTTGGGTCCTGTGGGGTGACATCCGGGAAGTGGAGCTGCCGTGAGCAGAGGACAGACCAGCTCTGATCCGAGCACCCAGGAAGCTGTGCTGTGTGTGGCTCCATTAATGTCGTTTAATCCCGCAACAAGGCCGAGCGCCGGGTGTTGGAGGAGGAGCTGACGGTTCACCTCTCAGTCCCTGGGGACACCATCCTCATCAACAACCGCCCAGGGCCCCGAGAGCCACCCCCCTACCAGGAGCCCCGGCCTCGGGGGACTCCACCCCATTCTGCGCCCTGTGTCCCCAATGGCTCTGGTAAGGCCTTGCCTTGTTCCAGTCCCCCTTGTCATCTGCCTGGGTTCTTGTCGTATCCCTCCTTCTCCTTCACTGTCTGTAGCCAGTCCAGCATCTTCTTATTTCTATGTCCCTCCATATAGTCTCCGCCCAGGTTTTCCTATGTATTACCCACAATGCCAGTGGTCTCATCCTGTCACAGTGTCATAGGTTTCTGTTGTACCCTCTCGTTGTCTCCTTACCCCTCGGCACTTGCTCTTTCCATCCATCCACCCATCTTTGTCCATCCGTCCACTCATTCGAGCACCCATCCATCCTACCATCCATCTATATTCATAAACCCATTTGTCTATCCAGCACTCAGACCGCAGTTTTAGCTCTCACCCATCATCCACTCACCCATCTGTACGTACGTACGTACCCATCATCCTCTCAGCTCTCCGTTACTCGTGAGGGCCGTGGTTTCCTCTATCTCTGTCTCCTGCACTTTCATCCCGACGCCCCGGTCTTGCCTTGAGTCTCATCCCTTCCCCGTGTCTCCCCCCTCCTTCTCCCGACAGCGTTGCTGCTCTCCAATCCGGCCTACCGCCTCCTTCTGGCCACTTACGCCCGTCCCCCTCGAGGCCCGGGCCCCCCCACACCCGCCTGGGCCAAACCCACCAACACCCAGGGTAAGCCCCTCCGCCGCTGGGCTCTGCAGGCTCCCCATACCGCTACCGGGCCGGGAAAAGCCCTCACGCCTTGCGCTGTCCACTTCCCACTGTGGCCTCTCCTGCTCTCCCGAGCTCCCCGGCTCTGCTGGAGCCACCGGGAAGGCTGCCGGTCCTAGCTCTGTCCCCTCCTCCTCTCACACTGCTCTCCAGAGCTAGAGAGGACGCTGCTGTGGTGCCGCTCTCCTGTAACTCCTCCTTTATTCTCCCCTCTCTCTAGAGCTGCCAGGAGGAGGGCCTCACCCTGGGCGCTTGCCCCCTCCCCCCTGTGTCCTCTCTCCGCAGTCCCAGAGGTGAAGGCTCATGCCGCCCCTCCTGTCTGCTCCTCTTTTCTCTGTGTTGCTTTCTCATGGTGGCCCCTCTCCCCAGGGCCTAGAGGGGACAGCTCTGCCTCCCTTCTGTCTGTAAACATCTCGTCTCCCCTCTGCGTGTGCCCTGTCTCTGCCTGTCTTTGAGCGTGGTGTGTTCGGGATTGGGAGTCACCGGCAGGGAGGGGCTGGGCCGACAGGAGCTGGAGCTGGTGGTCAGTGGGATGAGGGTTTGGAGTATGGGGGAGACCCGTGGCTTGGTCCTGCTTCAGACGCTGGGTGGAGGAATCCTTCTTCCAGCCCAGGCTTACCTAGTGGTTAGGGTTATACCAGGAGACCCCAGAGGGTAAAATATTCTGGTACCTTCTGCTCAACAGTCTGTGCTACCTTGAAAGCCTTGGGTGCGTAGCACCGTTCTCGCACTTGCCTTCTCCGGTTTGAGGCTGGCAGCGGGGACCTAGGGGACATAGAGGCTGGGACCTCGGGGAGATGGGGACATGGAGAATTGTGCTGCTCAGGGCTGCTCCTGATGCCTCGTCCTGTCTTCTCTCCCCTCGCCTCTCCAGCCTGCAGCGGGGACTATATGGAACCCGAGAAGCCGGGTGCCCCGCTTCTACCCCCACCTCCCCAGAACAGCGTCCCCCATTATGCCGAGGCTGACATTGTCACCCTGCAGGGCGTCACTGGGGGCAACACCTATGCTGTGCCCGCCCTGCCCCCAGGGGCAGTTGGGGATGGCCCCCCCAGAGTGGATTTCCCCCGGTCACGGCTCCGCTTCAAGGAGAAACTTGGCGAGGGCCAGTTTGGGGAGGTAAGAAGGGTGCCTGCCCAGCTTAGACAGCGTCTGGCTGGACTAGGGCTTTGTTGCCGTGCCTGCATGCTTCCTCGGCCCGGCAGCTCGCCATCTGTGCCGTGATGCCCCCGTGTGACGCCGTGGCCTTGGCAGACCTGGCGACCGAGCGGACGACCTTCATTCCCCAGGTGCACCTGTGTGAAGTAGAGGACCCTCAAGACCTGGTCAGTGGTGACCTCCCTGTCAGCGTGCACAAGGGGCACCCCTTGCTGGTAGCGGTGAAGATCCTCCGGCCCGATGCCACCAAAAATGCCAGGTGAGACCCACGGCAGCAGTAGTGACGGCACAAGCCAGTGAGAAGGGGGGAAGTCACATGGGGCCCCACTCCTGGACGGGGAGCTGCAGGCAATTAACAGCTTCTGAGAGGGGGCGTGCTAATCTCCAGAGATCAGTCCCCTACTTGGTTATCCAGTCCCAAGTGGTCAGCCTTGAAACCCACACACACCAGCAACACTGAGGGGATTGGGCAGGGTGCGTTCATAGACTTACTCACATACACACCTATAGCAATAATAATTAAAGAGTGAGAGGCCGTAGATTCGAAAGAGAGAGGTGAGGGACACGGGAGAGGGAGGAGAGGGAGAGGGGAAATGATGTGAACATACTTTAATTCAATTTAAAAAATAATTAGCAAAAGAATGCTCAGTAAGGACTAGGGATGATGTCTAGAAAAGGAGGGGGGGCACCATGAAGATTGGGGAGCAGCAGAGCCTGGTGTCTGAGAGGGAGGTCCTGGGGGGCAAGAAGGAAGATCCACTGCCATGCCCGCTTCTCCAGCCTCTCCCTGCTTCTCCAGGAATGACTTCCTGAAGGAGGTCAAGATCATGTCGAGGCTGAAGGACCCAAACATCATCCGGCTCCTGGGCGTGTGTGTGCAGGACGACCCCCTCTGCATGATCACAGACTACATGGAGAATGGTGACCTGAACCAGTTCCTTAGTGCCCACCAGCTGGAGAACAAGGCAGCTCAGGGGGTTCCTGGGGACAGAGAGCCTGACCAGGGGCCCACAATCAGGTACCCACTCCCCGAGGCAGGGCCCTCCTAAGAGCACCCCAAGTGGGACTCCTGACCCTCACTCAAGCTGGGGAGGAGCGAGGGCAGCATTGGGTGGGGATGGGCCGGTAGACGTCCCAGAGGGACCTAGGATGAGGAATGTCCATGGTCATACATGAACTAGGCCAGAAAGGCTCGGATCTTGGGAGGAGCAGGCGAAGAGGCCTGGAGCCTCTGTGAGTTCTCTCTTCCCCAGCCTAACAAAGCATGAGCTCCTCGGGATTGGGTGGGTGGAGTAGGAGCTGCCCGGTTCTGAGCCTCTCCCTTCCTGGATCAGGAGTGACCTCTGCAGTGGTTGAGGTGTGGGCTCCCCTCCCTCTCCTAGACAGACGCGTGTGAGGTGGGGTGCGGTCTGGGCTGCCCTGTGACCTTCCCTTTGACTCCTTCATTTAGCTACCCCATGCTGTTGCACGTGGGAGCCCAGATCGCCTCAGGCATGCGTTATCTGGCCACACTTAACTTTGTACATCGGGACCTGGCCACCAGGAACTGCTTGGTTGGGGAAAATTTCACCATCAAAATCGCTGACTTTGGCATGAGCCGGAATCTCTATGCTGGGGATTATTACCGCGTACAGGGCCGGGCTGTGCTGCCCATCAGGTGGATGGCCTGGGAGTGCATCCTCATGGTGAGCGGCCCAAAGGAGCAGGCTGGGGCCGGGGGGGGGGGGGGGGACACGACTACACTGGCTGCCCTCCCGCCAGCTCTGTAGCTCCCCAGCCACTTGCCTTTCTGGGGCTGCACTCTTCTCATTTGGAAGTCGAGGGTACCTCTGGATCTAGGAACTGGGAAAAGAAGGAACAGCGATGTGTGGGGAAAGGGATCCAGGAGCCAAGAGTGGGTGCTGGACTGAGGGGCAAGAGCTGGAAACTGGGAATAGAAGGGGTTGGAGTAGGGCAGAGGCTCAGTGCCAGCAGGTGGAAGGCAGGCAGAGAAGGACAGGGCCAGAGCAGCGGGAAGGGGAGGCAGGAACAGAGGAGCAGGTGGAAGGGGGTCAGGTGGAAGGACAGCCCGGGGCGAGGGCAGGTAGACCTTGGGTCTGCCCTGTCTGAGATCTTCCTCTGCCTTTCTTGCATTCTCGTGTGCCAGGGGAAGTTCACGACAGCAAGTGACGTGTGGGCCTTTGGAGTGACCTTGTGGGAGGTACTGATGCTCTGCAGGTCCCAGCCCTTTGGGCAGCTTACAGACGAGCAGGTCATCGAGAACGCTGGGGAGTTCTTCAGGGACCAAGGCCGGCAGGTTGGAGCTGAGGGAGGGGATGTGGCTTGTGGGAGGGGCCAGGAGGCTTGTGGGAGGGGCCAGGAGGCTTGTGGGAGGGGCCAGGAGGCTTGTGGGAGGGGCCGGGGGCAGAGCATGTGGTGATAGAAACTAAAGAGCACCTG